TAATTATATATATTCGAAGTGGAATTATATATATTCGAAGTGGAGGATACTATATATGTATATTTACAGTAAAGAAAGTGATAATATATTTTAAACCATTATACATCCATTGTTGAATATATAATGATTTTTTATTTTAATTTTAAAAGTACTATAAGAGAAAATATACATATAGCTATTAGGTTGGTCATATACATATAGCTATTAGGTTCATTTGGTCATACAGTATATAGAAACATGGTGGGAACTACTATTTAATCTGCATACGTTTAAGCAAAAGTGGAGTATTCATTACTGTAAATCCACAAGGTTACAGGGTCTTAGCTAGGAGGGTTTGTTGGCCATGTTACTGTGGCCAAAAATGGAAAACACACCGAGATAAATCGAAAGCTGCTTTATTATTTAATATGTAAAGCTGTGTAGGTTTATAAAATGGAGTGAACATTACTACTTACAAAGTACAGTATTTACGTCCTAAGAAAGTTTGTAAATTCCAGTTTGTTGAAATCAGTGATGTTTTTATGTGATGTTTTCATGTTTAGATGAATAGGAAGTGTATGGTTTTGAATGCCCCAAAAGTTGCCAAAGTGACTTACTGTAATGTTAGTGTGTAATATATGTTTATGCTCGCCTTGTATTTTGTTGTTACAAAGCATACTTTTATTAGAACAACCACAGGCATAGAAACACTAAGTCCAGAATCTAATTCCTAGCTATTAGGTCCTGGTCAGAAACAATTATAATAATTGTAGTCAGACTTTGCAAGAAAAGAAACCTGATTATTGTGATCATATTAATTTTCATTGAACCCTTTGAATGGATCGATAGGAACTTGAAGTGGTTATCACTTATGGCAAGTAATTAATATGTATTGTTGTGATGTGTTGTATAGGTTGTTATCCTCCACCATATGTTATCAAAAGCAACCATCAAAGCAAGACCAACTGTCTTGTGGTGTTATAAAAAGGAACTTGGATTTAGCAGGTAAAGGTGTGCTTCCCCTCATGTGTCCACTACTGCTCATGCCACTCTTTGTGGTAGATAAACAGATTCATCAGGGCAATGTTAACTGGCTGTTGCAGTAAATTGATATATTGATGTCAAATAGAATTATATTATTAGATATTACATTTTATTATTGTAGTGTATCAATATACTGATAAAAATATAGAAGATGCATGCATAGCCAGGAAAAGACATTTTAAAATTAAGAAGTTCTCTGGTCAAATTATTTTAATGACGAGTTTTTGGCTATCAGACTTATAGCCTTTAATGGGTAACTAACTAACACCATGACATATATAATATATATATATATATATATATATATACAGGCCGGGTGTCCCAAAAAAAACTGGACACTGTTTGATGTCATGTGATGTAACGTGAAAGCTATCAATTAGCTATCACAGTGAAATAAAGATCATATTGCATTCAAAAAGGACTAACTTAGATTTTGATATTAATATAACCCTTGAATTTACATGCAATATTGAGCAGGATACAACCAATTTGAGAATAGAAATATTTATTATGTAACAAGTATAACTATGTCGGTAATTACAAGGTTTTTTGTGTGCTAATTTTTGACATTTTCAACAACAGTAGTTCAACGTTCAAACATCAATAGCGCAGTCAATATTACATGTAAATTCAGGTGCCATATATCAAAATCTAAGTTTAATAGTCCTTTCTGAATGCAACGATCTTTATTTCAAAGCTTTTACGTTACATGAAATCAGACAGTGTCCAGTTTTTTGGGGGCGCCGGGTATACTACACAATGATGTTATTGTGACTAGGTAATTAAGTATAGGCACGCATATAAAATATTTGGAGTTTGTAGGTTATTGTTTCTGTAAAAAAAATAGAATATTGTTGCGGTAAATTCATGAGGTTTTTCTCAGGGAAAATATCAGTATCGAATTGTTTCAATACTGGAAGGTAAACTGACCCTTATTTTAGTCAGGCAGATACAGGATCAAAATTATGGAAAACTCACCATATCGAGGGGCAATTTCATTTTGCGTTTATATTGTGCCCTGATGGCTAGTAAGTACGTTTCTGAATGTTGGCCGCGTTAAAAGGGCTCCTGCCGACACGTTTTTCTTCGAATGTTGTATTAGACTCTATATACTGATAACAGTTAAAAAATGTGAAATTTCAAATACACTTTCTAACACAAATGACTTACATCAATAGAAAGCTAACAAAAAAACTACATATAAGACATTTAAATGGATAGTTGGGATTTTCAAGCGGTTTTCGAGTTATTGCCGCTTCAATTGTGAAAAATAAGCCAAAATCTTGCAAAGTTGCTCGGTACTAGTCTGAAAATACGCTTTCAACAGCTCATAACTCAAGAAGAACTTGAAAAACCCGGGTAACCGTTTAAATGTGTTATATGTAGTTTTTTGCAATTACATTTTTTAACTGTAATAGAGTTTAATACAACATTCGAAGAAAAACGTGTCGGCAGGAGCCCACAAGAAATTTTAACGCGGCCAACATTCAGAAACGTACTTACTAGCCATCAGAGCACAATATGAAGGCAAAATGGAATTGCCCCTCGATATGGTGAGTTTTTTTCCTTCTATCTGCCCGACTATTTAGTCAAAAAACCTTTTCCAATGATACATTATTTTTCATTTCCTCCAGTCACAGGAAGAAAAGAATGAAACAACTGCAGAAGAAGATAAAAAGTGGAACACTGGACTTGAACAAAGACGATCCATTTGAATTATTTATATCATCAACAAACATCAGATATTGTTATTACAATGAAACACATAAAATACTTGGAAATACGTATGGCATGTGCATATTACAGGTGAGGAACTAAATATAAAAACTGTTGTGAATAAGAAGAACTTATTATATGGCAAGCATCACTTCCGGTCAAATGGCCGACTGTACGTGATTGGGTGAGAAGTACTTTCAGCGGTCCATTAAGTAAAAAAACCCGCATGCATTTTAAAACAAAACACCAAAGTAATTGAAAATTTGAAACTTATAATTTAATTTGTTATTTACAGTATAAGATATCTGCGAATGGTTTTTAGCGTAGATGGATTTTCACATTTTTTACTGGGGTGGTGCCAGAAATTTTAGGGGGGTGAGCGGTGAGCAGGTGACTGAAGCAACACAAAGTGTCACCAAACCCCAGTAAGGTCTATATTCTAGGGGTGGAGCACTAGAGCCACAAGGGGGAGTCTAGAGAGCAGAAAACAAAGTATCCCTGGAAAAATTTGAAAAAAATCATGATTTCTAGCTTCGAAAAAAAGTTTTTTGAAGTTGTCATATCAATGGTTTGGTATGTCCGATTGTCTGTTGAGACTTGAGAGAGTTCAAGTTAAATGAACCTGTAAAAGTGTAAACCCAATAGGCCAATACACAATATGCTTTTACTTTTATAAAGTCATTGACATTGTGTCGTTTGAATCCGAGTACAATTTATGATGCAACTCCGATGTAAATAATATTTGGGGCATAAAAATTAAATCTAGGAAAGTCTATTTCCCAAAAGAATTAAAAAACTAAAAATAATGTTCGTAAAAATTCCAAACGTTCCTTGCAAGCAAGCTATTTGCATGACAAGGCACTGCAAACTCTATTCAGGGGAGATAATAGAGTTTCAAAACTTTACAATTGCTCCAATAAACCAGTGAATGCAAGCGAGGAGCGATTAGTTTCAGAGTATTGCACTGTCTTTTTCTATTTGAGTGTACTCCTACGTTTATTTTGTAGCATTAGGCCGTAGGATGAGCATCCAAAAGATGCAATTCCGTTGCACCCCTCGTGTAACTACGTAATTTTCACATGAATAAATAGATAAAAACGTACTTTATCAGAATCCGTTGCTCCCCAAGCGAAACAGGTGCACA